ACTCGTAGACTTGAAGAGAACTCTGATAATGTTGTTGTTTCTTTCTCTTTCCTCCGCCCCCCATAATTCGACCATTGCTCCAAATTCATTTCTCACGGTCTTTGTCGAGTGTGGTAGGCCCGGTAACCCAGCACGGTGTAGCAATTTAGGTCAGCTCTTAGGGGTTTGTACCTCTGCTCCTTTAGAACTTGCCATCGCACGGCGGTAATAGGTTTCAACATTTACGTCATCGGTGGTTACGAAGGCGAGAAAGCCTTAAGCTCATGTCACAGCTTCAACGCTGTTACGAAGACGTGGCTCGAGTTGGCGCCTATGCATAAATGCAGGTAAGATGCAGTTCGCTAACTAACGAACTCCTTCGAGCAGAGTCCTGCTTCAAAAGCTGATAGTCGCTGTGTTAGTCAAAATATATATGTGGACAGGGGCTCTAACTTTACCACTCCCATACACGAGCTTCATAAAGAGTGGGAATGGGTACGAGGGCATTTGCAACATTGTTGATCGTCGGTCAAAGCCGAATAGAAGTTAATCAGAAACTTCGTTGCATTTTCTCCAAGTTTTAAGAATTTTATTAGGTTCTTAATTCATTTGAATTTTCATTTAACAATGTCGAAGGAAGAAGAACTGTATTCTGCGAGAGGAAATGTATCTGTGTCGGCAATAAATGAGCATCAACACCAGAGGAACACGAATCTTAACAAAGTCTGTACTTTTTTCGTTTCAGAGCCTGCTTAAATGTGGCAGTTCTGGGAGAGATGGTGTACGCCATGGGTGGGTATGTTCATTATGAGGGACAGGAAACGGCGGAAAGATATGACCGCAAGACGAACGAGTGGTCGTGGATCGCTCCTATGAACTCGCAGCGGTGGAACGCAAGTGCAGCTGTGCTAAATGGTAACGGAGAGCCTGTGAAAGATTGCTGTGTGAATTAGTGTAGAAGGCGAGGCGTCTGTCTCTCGGCGTCTAACAACGCAAGAACGGTTGAAGGAATTGTGGGATTTGAGGGTCTCATGGTGGCTGTCGTTTGGCTTGTAGCGCCATGTACTCTGGTAGAGGTCTACCGACGTTTCAGAGAAACTTATGCCTTTTTCATCAAGGCAGCAAACATATCTGGAACATCTGTAAACTAGTAGAAAGACTCCTTTAAATGTGAGGGGCGTGATTTATTTCGTAATTTCATATGTCATAATATTCTCTCTCCTTCCTCCTCGCTCTTGAACTTAGTTTCCCATTGTCCGGTTTCCTTTTATTATCCATTTATTTCATCCGTGCTACGTACTACGTTATTTCACAGACTCCAACGACTTGACGTTCTGAGTGCGTGATGGTTTCTTCTGCTCTTGTAAGCTATCCCTGTACATCGTCTTCTGCCTTCCATGTAATTTATTTATTTATTTATTTAGTGTTCTGTCTGACGACAGGTCCATATGAACAGAATCCTTCCATCCTTTTCTCATATACGTTCTTGGCAGATGATCCAGAAGTAGTTTGCCATTGCCTTCTTCTGTGTGTGAATATAGTAATTGTTGGGATGCCACGGAGAAACCGGGGAAGCCCCCGGAGGAAAACTCCGTATTTCCTAGACCACGGCCTTGCCCAACACAAGTTATAAATTCGGGCACCGATATACAGATATATAATGTTTTTGAAACAGTTAATTATCTGATGAATGTAGCACATTATGTTAAAAATATAGAGCACCGCCAAGCAGCTTGTACCGTACAACTCTGGTACCGAATTTAATAAAATTCGTTTTACAGAAGATATAACTTACCATCATTTTCATAGTGCATTAATTTAGACATTTTATGCTGTTTATATCAAGTTCTATCTTTTTTTTATTCATCCATTAATCTCGTTTCCTTTCTCACGCTAATTGTCTAAATTCATTGAAATGCATAAAGTTGAAAAGAAAGAAACAAATGAATAGAGACAGCCGTGTCCGTACAGTTGCTATGACACGAAGGCGGACATTAAATACAATATCATTAATAGATTAACAAATTTAAGTACATATTCTCCCATGTTTGTGCTCTGCGTGGAGCAGTATAATGCCTCTGCCTACGTCAAACCTGTATACAGCTTGTGTCACACATGTAATTTGTTTTAACAGACAAAATATACGTCGCTGGTGGATGTGCAACGTGGTGGGCTATTTTAGACTCGGTGGAAATGTATGACCCAGTCACCAACCAATGGACGCTTGTTGCGAAATTGCGTTCTGCACGTCAAGGTCATTGTTGTGTCGTCTTCCACGGCAGTCTGTACGTCCTAGGTAAGAATTCTGAATATCCTGAGTGATGTCCCATTTGTCACACAGTCCCAGTTTTAAAGGTAAATATTTCGTTCTTATTACTTTATTATTAGTGTTCTGTCTGATGACAGGTTCATATATTATGAACAGGATCCTTCGATCCTTTTCTCGGACTGGGACCTGTTCATATACGTTCTTGGCAGATGATTAGAAGTGGTTTGCCATTTCCTTCTTCTGTGTGTGAGTGGAGTAATTGTTGGGATGCCACGGAGAAACCGGGGAAGCCCCCGGAGGAAAACTCCATGATGCCTAGACCACGGCCTTGCCCAACACAAGTTATAAATTCGGGCACCGCCGGGAATTGAACCCGGGACCCCAGGATAACAAGGCTAGTGTTCTAACCGCTAGACCAACATGGCGGTTTCTTTTTTACAGTGGAAAGGAAATTTCAGTTCACCATTCTATTATCCACAACAAGCCGGTGGTTTGAACCGGTTCCTTCGTATTCTTTCCTTTTCGTCAATTGTTTGTGTTTATTGTTGAACTCTATTTTCGTACGCAGTTGCATCAAGCAGTAAACAGATATCAGGTGCAATTTCCTGTTCCTACTGGAAAAGTTAATGGCGTTACTCTGCACAGAGTGCCTACGAATGTATTGAGACTGGTTACGTTGTGTTTACATCAGGGTTCGGGGCGCTTTTTATGATAAGTTTCAGCTGCGTAATTATAACCTTAATATTAATTGTGATCTAATATGTAAATTAGACGTGACATTAAGCTTTTGTTTGTGCGAATTTTGGGACGCTGTACTTTAGAACAATTCTGTTTCTACTGTACCGTAAATAAACTCCAGAAGACATGTGAAGTAAAGGCTTCATAAACTCCCTTGTTCACAAGTACAAAAATAATATAGTAGATATTTGATCCTTAACGTCGTTCCTGTACTAATACAAACACTGCAAAAGGGAATGAATTTACTTTTCTGTGTTTCATCCATTTCTTACGTTTATTAAATTACAAATTTTAAGAGCATAAATTCCGTTGGGTAAGACGGACGGAGTGTGAAGCATTGAAGTTACGAGA